GTCGTGTCACTTGACGTCGTGCGGGCGCTCTTGCTGGCGGTCACGCGGTTCGACAAGGTCGACGGGCGTGCGGGCGAGCGTAGATGTGGCGCGGTCACGCGGTTCGACGGTGTCGACGGGCGTGCGGGCGCGGGTAGGGTGGCGCGGTCACGCGGTTCGAGTGGTAGTCGACGGGCGTGCGGGCGCGTGTAGTCGTTACGCGGATCGTTGCGACCGATGGGCGTAAAACGAGTGGTAGGGTGGTTTAAAACGCTGGTGAGCGTGGGCCCATAACCTGTTGCAGCAGGATTATGTGTAGTGGCGTAGTGGTAGAAGAGATGTATTTGAGAAGAGAGAAAGAAGGGATGAAATAAACAGAAGAACGCAGTGTTCTTTTAAAGGGTTCTATGGTCCGTTCTAATTGGTCGGTCAGCTCAGGTCTTTGAGCAACGGGAGGGAGTTCGGAGTTGACCGTTGTTCAACGTGAGCGACTTGACCGACTGGACAGGTCTGACTGAACAGTAGTGAGCCAGGCGCTCCTGCATGTCCAGCTCACCCTGCAGCGGCCTCGAATCGAAGTTGAATGCTTCGGGGTTACGCGTCCTGCGCTGATCTTTCGCTGCATTATCCATCCTTCAGCAGGGGTGATTGGTTTTTGATGTTATAGATTGAACACCTGCACGGTGGCTGACGGTCAGTAAGGAGGTTGGTGAGTGCAGGTTGGTTTGAGGACTGAAGCGGGTCCGCTTCTCTGGTACGTCAGTTCGGCCGAACGCCCCCCCCCCATTAATTTTCTATCACTTCGGTGAACCACCAGCACCAGTTCGGCCGAACGCGCCCACACTCGACCCGTAACTTCCTCCCTTGCTGTAGAACCACCAAGCAATCAAGCTCGCAGATCAACCCACCAGCCAGCAGCGTCCGTACCTTCGCTAAGACATCTCACGCGCGATGGATAGCCCCCACGATGATCAAGATGATCCGCGAACGATGGCCCTGCGAGCCGTCACCGCCCTCGTCGTGCGAACCCGGATCAGCGCCGACCCTGCCGCACAGAACCGAATGGCCACCGATCTGCTGCGGATTATCGACGA